AAGGCAGCCCCACATAGAGTGCATTACAATGGCCTAATCTCGAGATTACGAGCGCATGGACTAGAGTAGTGAGGGGGCCCCCATCAAGATATGGTTGCAGCTGAGCAATCTGCCATAGATGGAAATAGGCGGAATGGACCATGGACGCCACCTGGATTTCCATGGGAAGCGCCGGGTCCAGATGTATCCCTAACCTGCGGACCTCACTCTTTGCGGCAAGGATTGTCCCCCCAAAAGAGAGGGAGTCACCTATGCCGCTAATGGAAGGGTCACCCACCCTCAAGACCTCCGTCTTGTCTGGTAATAGTAGGAACAGTGGTATTATTAATAACTCCCTTTAGTGCAGAGGAAAGAGACATTCAGAAATACTGTTCTGAGGAAGTCTTTTAGTTAGGATGTGTTTAGAACCTGCATTTTAGGTATACTTTTTGCTGTACGCATTGTAATACCTCTTTTATATTTATTTTATTTTATTTCACAGTTTCTGTTCAGTCTTTCCTTAGCCTATAAGATAAAATCCTTTTTTAAAAAGAATGTCTGGAGCAAACAAAATCCACACAGTATGCATTGGGTTTTGAAGAAGGGAAAGCTACAGAAAGGTTCTGCTGACACTTCAGTAACATTCTGAGTTGGCTAAGAGGGAGTGTTTGCAAAAGAGATGTGTTCTCTGTCTTTAGCAGCTGCCTCAGAAGCCTTGAATGTATTGTGGCTACAAAGCTTTTCCTCTCCCAGTGCCTGGTGTATGGCCAGATAGCTTAATAGTTTCTTATTTACTACGAAGGTGCAACCCTCAGAGCTGTTATCTGTTCAGGATATGATGATTTGTTGCCTCTGGAGGTTCATGTGATAGCTTGGTCCATATCTTTGTACTTTTTATCAGAATAACAAGCCTTTAGAAATAAATGCAATGACATCTAGAACAGAGTTTCTCCTTTCTTTTTTAGGAAAGTGTTTCTGGCGGGTTATACAGAGAAAACCATTCTGAATGGAGTGATCTGGGGGGAAGAGATGCAATGAGGGATAGGTTTGGAGGTTATAGAGGGATGTGAAAATCTTTCAGATTTATTTTTAATGTATTTCTGCTGGTATTTTTAAGCAATCTAACTTCCATATTGGATGGTGAAACTTTTTTTCTTCCCGTGTGGAAATTTGTTTTTCATAAAACATGCATTTTTACAGAAGGGTGAAATACTCTAGCAATCTGCATGTAAATTATTCCAACTGGGCAGGGGGGGGGGGAGAGAAATACAGGAGTAATGAGCTCTCGGCCCAAAGCCTGAAGTGTTTCTTTAGAGATGCAATGAGGGATAGGTTTGGAGGTTATAGAGGGATGTGAAAATCTTTCAGATTTATTTTTAATGTATTTCTGCTGGTATTTTTAAGCAATCTAACTTCCATATTGGATGGTGAAACTTTTTTTCTTCCCATGTGGAAATTTGTTTTTCATAAACATGCATTTTTACAGAAGGGTGAAATACTCTAGCAATCTGCATGTAAGGTATTCCAACTGGGGGCGGGGGAGACAAATACAGGAATAATGAGCTCTCGGCCCAAAACCTGAAGTGTTTCTTCCTCTTTTATTCTTGGGGCAAACATAAAGCTATTTCAAAGGAGGGATGAGGGCATTTTAGTCTTGTGGGATCTATTATTTGTATTTGTGCCTCTGTGTGCAGAATTTCATGATCTGCCAGCTGAATCTTGCTGCAAAAGCAAATGCTTAGAATGCAAACATTCTCAGCTGTGGAGTATCAGGACCATATGAAGCTCATTGTTCTTCCCACAAAAATCCACTCCATGTTATTCTCCCATTTGCATCTTGATTTCAGTAGAATAATTTGAGGAAGGAGACTCATTTTGTTACTGCTATATTGGAGACAAATTTCCTTCTGATCACCCAGAACGATACTATTAAATCCAAATTGAAAGATTGCCGGGGGTGGGGTGGGAGTAAGAGAGGTTGTTTCGTTATGACAGGGATTTTTGTGTACAGCCAGTTTCCGTTTCAGATTTCTGCATCCCTCTTCCCCACCTCTAACCCCAATCAACCCTGAAAATAAAAGAGTGCTGCAAAAATGTTGTATATCTGTTCCCTTGTAAGTTGTTGTGTGCTTTTGAATTGCTTGGCTTTAATACATTTGTCTGCCACCACTCCAGAAACTAAAAACAGAAATTGTCTCTCCCACCCCTTGCTCTGATTGCTGTTTTCAAAACATCCCCCCTGAACTCTTTCACAGAACACTCTATATCCATGGCCACACCAAGCTGGATTTCACAGTCTGGCATAGTGCAATTGAAAAAGCAGCAGGTACAGATGGCAACGTGTTGGAAGATCAGCAGCTCAGCAAAAATGACGTCCCGATTATAGTGAACAGCTGTATTGCATTTGTTACACAGTATGGTAAGCGGAGAAAAGGATTTCTTCAAGTTCATGAAAATTGGAGATGCATCCAGATAGAGTAGTTAAGAAGCATCTATATCAGATTACATTATGTGGGCTTGAGCTGTGAACTGTAAAAAAGCAATGTTTTTGTTGTTACATTAGGTTGTTTCTGTGGCTGTATATTTTTTTAATATCAGTGTTGAGTGAGAAAGTGAAATGTGTGTTGTTATGAGGAAAGCAGGGTTGGAAGATGAAACCTGGAGTTTCTTGGAACAAGGAGCTGGCTTAATTTTGTTTGGTATAAGATGTAGTTAATTGCACAACGAAGTCTTCTGTTGTGAAAATATGTTTAGCACCTACCTGATCTTTATGTTTTTAACTCTATCCATGTTGTCAAGACAGCAGCCTATAAGGTTATGACTTTCAAAATGGGTTCCAAGGACTCTTGGATTCCACAGAATCCATGATTCATTTTTCAGATGAATATTCAAGAGGTTGGAAACTTACTTTTTAAAGGGAAATAGAGGTAAGCCCCCAGCAGTTAGTTACATCTACAGTTACATTTTTAAAGGCAACTCTATTGTTTTTCAAAAGAAATTCAATAGTCACTTTCAATAAGTATTTTCAAAGCTATAAAAAACCTGCAGGTCATTAACCTATGGTTCAAAGCATACCTGTTTCCCTTTTGTTACTATCTCTAGAATAGCAGCATGAGGCATACTATGAGCTGGTACTTGAACTAGACGACATTTTCCCTCTACTGCCTAGTAAGGCCACATCCCTGTGATGACAAAAGCAGTGCTGTAAAGTTACAGTGGCAGAAGAAAAATAGTTTAGTTATCCATCATTAGGTTATAATCAAAATAACGCAGTAATGCTTTTTTGTTGTTATTGTTATGGAAAGGAATAAATTACAAGTAACAGATTTTTTAAAATACCAACTTCTTCTAAAGCTCCGTGATAAGCAGTAGAAGACAGCTTTCCATCTTTTACTATCTTCCTTTGAAGTTTTCTGCTACAAGAGGAATAGCTGAAAATGGGGAGGACTGTCAGACCAGGGTTGGCATGACACATATGATTGCTTGAGGCAAAGGACCAGATGACACCCCTTATCCCCATTTAATGTACAGGAACTAAATGGACTGACAATTGAATGTTATTTCGGCATGAATCAGTAGAAATAGTCTGTTTCTCTGACCCTTTGGACGGTAGGGTAGTGTAGGGGATTGAGGCCAAGTCATGAGATCTGGAATGTTCTGTTTAGTTGCATGTGCATTAAAACAAGCTTCTGCAACCTGGAACTTCCAGAGGTTTGGGACTACAGCTTTAATACATCAGCCAGTATGTTGAATCATAGTGCTGCACAACTACTGGACGTGTTTGTGCTGGTTCAAACCACAATTAATTGGTGTGAGGATGGTGCCCCCTTCCCAACATTAAATTATCTTATAATTGAAAATTTGACAAGTATGTAATGTTGTGTTCCTTTGTTTAAGGTTTGGGTAGCAAACATATCTACCAGAAAGGTGGGGATCCATCTCGTATGAGGGAACTTCTTGAGAACTTCAAAAAAGATGCCAGAAGTGTTAAGTTGAGGGCTGGAACAAATCAACTTGAAGACGTTACTGATACGTTGAAGTGTTTTCTGTCTGAGATTGATGATGCACTTCTTACCAAAGAACTTTATCCGTTTTGGATCTCTGCACTAGGTAATGAATGGTGTTATTGTTGTTAAGCCCTGAAGGCACAGCTTATATGATTGTTTATCCAGGTATAGAAAAGTTGGCTGCATATCTTTGTAGATGATGATGTGCGACTGTACAGTTCCCAGTCTGATTCTGACCACCAACAGAAGCACACTGTTCTACTTCATTATACGTGAAGGAGTAGCTGCAATGAGGTATGCAAAGAATATTTTTATTTAATCAGATCCATCTTCCACTGATACATACTGCCCATCATAGTACAAGTGGTTTGTTAGCTGTTGATAAACTGGAGTTGTAAAATCATAGGAAATCTAGAGCTAGATGGTACATCGGGGTAATCTCCACTCCTTTTCCAGGGATGGAAATCCACAGCCAGAGCATTCCTGACAGATAGCAATCCAGCCTCTATGTAAAAATGTGAACCAAGCAGAGTCCAGAATCCTCCAAGACAGTTCTGCTGTCAAACATATCTTACCATCTGGAAATTCTTCCTCCTGTCTAATCAAAATGTCTTAAGTTTTGTTTGTTTGTTTGAATGAATGTATTGGTCTGGGACCTGCCCGAGCAACAGGAAGCAAGCTTACTCCATCCTCCATGCAATAACCATTTTCAGTTACCTCAGAGTTGCTATCCTATCATCATTCAGTCTGTTCTTTTAGGTAAGCATCCCCAAATTCCTCAACCCTTCCTCATAGTGCTTGAATTTAGACCCTCTGAACATGTTATTTATGTTCAGAGAGTCTAAATGTAAGCACTATGAGGAAGGATTGAGAAAATTGGATATTTTTACCTAAACATATCTTATCAATATCCTCTGGATATGTTTCAGCTTATCAATATTATTCTTGAACCATGGTGCTCTGAATTGTACAAACAGTGAAGGGACACTTTATATTTGGAGCATGTCATCTGTGAATTATTCCGATGAGCACCTAGTATGCCACTTCTCCTCATTCCAAGTGATCAGTCATGGAGTATCTGGCAAAAGAGACATTTTTTCTCTTTTCCTCCCAAGTTCTCCTCATTCCAAGTGATCAGTCATGGATTATCTGGCAAAAGAGACATTTTTTCTCCTTCTGTTAAGTGAGTAATCTTAAACTGCTGACAGTTATCACAAGCTATGCATTATCGTTGATTGGGCTTAGAGCAGTACAGAATAGAAGCAAACACATTTCAATAGTAATGGTTCCTTCCGCCATCAAGAAAAAATACTTTCTTTCCCCTTCCCTCAATTCATTCCTCACTTTAGAAGAAAAGCAAGCAGGTCATACCCATGTTGTGAGATATCCAAGATGCTGTGGGCTCTTTTCCTTTACTGATATTGTACCCAGGGCTTTATAGCTATATTGTAGGCAATCAAAGCACAGGAGGTACTCTGCTTCATTCCAGATTCTTCCATAGGCAAGAAAAGGGCTAAATATAATTCTGTGTAGGTGTGTTCTGTGCTTATATATATATATGGTCACTCTTAAATATATATACTGAATGTGTTTTGCTGTTGGTAGGTGTGTTCTGTGCTTATATATATATAAGCAACAGCAAAACACATTCAGTAAGGTACAACAATCCATTTAAAAGAAATCACTCTGGGGAAGCTTGCCTGAGGAGAAAGGTCTTCACCTGCTTGCAGAAGGACAGCAGACCTTCCCAGAAATGCACCCACGAAGGTGGCGAGACTGAGAGAAAGGCCTCTCCTGATGATCTTAACACTCAAGCAGTGTCATAAAGGGAGATACATTCATTGAAAAAGAAAATTTCATGCGAAAAAGAAAGTACACCCTCTTTGAATTCTGTGGTTTTATGTATCAGGACATAATAAAAATCATCTGGTCCTTAGCAGGTCTGAAGATTAGGTAAATACAACCTCAAATGAATGACACATGACATATTGCACGGTGTCATGATTTATTTTATAAAAATAAAGTCAAAATATAGAAGCTGTGTATGAAAAACTGACTACACCTTATGATTCAGTAGCTTGTAGAACCACTTTTAGCAGCCATAACCTGAAGTAATCATTTTCTGTATGACTTTATTAGTCTCTCACATCATTGTGGAGGAATTTTTCCCCACTCTTCTTTACAATATTGCTTCAGTTCATTGAGGTTTGTAGGCATTTGTTTATGCACAGCTCTCTGAAGGTCCTGACACAGCATTTCAACTGGGTTGAGGTCTGGACTTTGAATGGGCCATTGCAACACCTTGACTCTTTTCTTTTTCACCCATTCTGTTGTAGATTTGCTCTTCCCCTTCAGAGTACCCCTTAGACCAATGGGTTTTTGAAGGAAGTCCAAGAACCAAAAGAAAATATTATGCAGCGTATGAGAGAAGGGGAAAACAACTTCTTAAATTGTGAGAGAGCGCACTCCATTTTTAATGCAGTAGTTTAAGAGAGACATCTTCCAAAAATCAATACAGTGACCTCTCAGTAACCTGCTTTGAGCAATGAGAACTTCAGTTTTCCATTTCACCTATTTGTCTGTCTTGTTCATTTGTATTTTAATCAGCTCTGCTCATTAAGTGCATCCATGAGTGAACAGAGGAATCTGGCTTGTGCTTTATGGATAGTTACCTTGGGAGTCATTGCAACCAGCACATGAATATAGAAGTTGCATATCTTCTTTGTGCCTAAGAATCCCCTGAAACCCCTTCTAATGCAGGATCTAATAATCTGCATCAAAAGAGAATTATCCATATTGTGTCTGTGAAGGGAAGGTTGATTATTTGAATAGTCATGTGAAATGGCAAGATGCTGCTGAGATGGCTGGTCGATATCCTTCTCCTTTGGACTGCAATCTACTTAATATTGGGTAATTTAATTTCACTCCCTCCCTCAGATACCCTGGATGAGAAGGAGAGAGTGAGGAAATACAGCACTTTCATTCAAACGCTTCCACCAGTCAATAGAGCAACTTTGGCAGCCTTAATGGAGCACCTTTACAGGTGAGTATGCCAACAAATCTACAAAAATAATTTCAGGGGAATCCTCTGTATGTTCCATGGGCATAGATGGGTATTATTCCTATAGCTCAAATCTAGTAAGTTTGTTTTATATAGGATTGAATTCTCATCAAATGTTTCTCGTGCAGTAACTGAGATGTTCCCAAAATGTTATTTAGTCATTTCCTTCAGGATGAAATCAGATAGTGATGAAGTCATTCTTCTGGCTCCAAGGGCACTCCAGAGCATACCAGAGCATCCAGATGAAACTGAAAATGACCATTAAAAAAGAAGAAGAAGAAATTATTTCTTTCTAAAACAATGCGCAGAGAGGAGCACATTTTGTTTTAGAGAGAAATAATACCTCTTTGAGGTGTTATTTCCCAATATCTTTGAAAAATGGTCACTCTTAAATATATATTTTCAAATGGGGTTTATTTTACCCACTGCATGAGCCTGGAGAAGGATGTAAATCCTTGCTCATCTTGCCTTTGCAGGTGAGGGGAAGGAATTGCAAACTTCTTCTCATTGCCTGCAAGGAATTTCCTGGCACTCACAACAGTCTTTATGTTAGTGGAAACATTGTGTGTGTGTGTGCAAAATATCACCCATTTTTACATAGATTTGCCTTTTTTGTAAAGAACAGTGCACTTCAATCTCTTCTGTGAATTCTCAAAAATAGAACAATGGTGCTTCATTTCATGATTTCTAGTACTGAATGGGTTGTGTGCATCTTTCTTAACAATCAGCTGATCCTTCTGTATTTGCTTTTGTGTACTTTGCCTCGCAAAGGGAAAGGATATGGGACATTTTGCATAAACCACTGAACCCTGAGTGGGGGAAATAGCTCTTAGGTGGCCATCAGGAATTTGGGGGAGCTAAAATTTATCACAAAGGTGTCTTGTCTTGTGAAAATAACCTAAATTGGTGAGAATAAGGAATTTAGCTAGTATACTTTCTGTTGGTAGATCTAAAGCCATGAAGTGGCCTGGGAGAACATATGGTGCATGAGCCACACATTTTGCATTGTCTCTTAAAAGTGGCATTAAAACCCATGGGGGAAAAACCACAGTAAACAGTATCAAAATCTACAGGTTGTCAGAGTCCTTCTCACAGGGCAGTTAGTGATTGATTGTCATTTAATAATATAGCCATCCCTGTAGTAATAGTGTACAGTGGCATTTCTTAAAAGAGTGGCATAGCTAAAGGCATCTGTAGAATTAATGAGCAGGATTTGAACTGGTGAATTGCTGGTTCACTGTGGTACGCCATCATTAATTGTGCAATCTGAAGCATGAACAGAAATGATTTCTTGATGCTGATGCATTTAAGTGTATGGTGGATATTGACACAGAGTTGTGCTTAAAAATGACAGTATGTGCGAAGAAAAATCCAAATTTAATGACAAGAAGAGCAGGATCCTGGGATCAAATGTTCATTCACCTATGCTCTGTGATGAGCATCTTAGTTACTGAGTCGTAGAATAATGACCTTTAGTTGGTGGTGATGAGAAGGGCCCTCTCCATTGTGGCAAACCTCCCCCCCCCCCGCATACATATGTGAAAATATCTCCCTATTGAGATCAAGTGGGTTCCCACTATAGGGTGTTTCCACTGCCAGTTGAAGCCTTAATTTTCATCAGATGCTTTTCTGAACACCAGTGTGAGATGTTTGTGATCATAATGAAATGCTTTGTTGTTTCATCTCATTGCTACTTGATTTTATTGTTATTTGATTTTTGTTGTATTTTAATACTGTAATATTGTAAACTGTTTTCCAATTTTTGGAGTGAAAACGGATAGAGAAATATCTTAATCAATATTTGCTGAGGTTACATAATCCTGGGGCTTCCTGATGATCATAGGAAGGAGAAGGGGAAACTGTCTGACTGAAGTCTTATCTTACAATAACTTAAAATCCTCCCGAGCTCCACCTTGTCTTGCTCATCTGTTGAAGCGTATCTCGCAGTCAGATGGACTGGAAACTTGCTCTTCTTTAAAAAGCAGAAATAGAAAAACTGAGTTCTATTGCAAGTACAGTACTGCATTGTATACATTCATGAGATCATGATTTATTTATTTTTTAGTTGCTATCATTCCCTGCTCATTTTATTTCATTCTTCAGATACCTGTCCTTCAAACATATTACTGCAGGCCTCACACTGACTTCTAGGCAGAACCATTTGAACTACAGTTTATCAGAATAGTTGAGCAAGAGGACTCTCCTACATAGTTCCAACTAAGCTACAGGAGGGTGCTGGGTATACCATGGTGCTACCTTGGGCAAATGTAAGGGTGCCCAGTCCATCCATAGGTAAACGGACATTGAATAGACCAGTAAGAGTGCTTGTCATCGTAAGGAAAGTTACAATTAAAAAACCCTTTGTTGTTGTTGTTACATGCCGTCAAGTTGCCTCCAACTTACAGCAATCCTATGAATGAGAGATCTCCAGAATGTCCTATCTTTGACAGTCCTACTCAGCTCATATAAACTCAGTCTTGTGGCTTCCCTTAAGGTGTCAATTCATCTTGCATTTGGTCTTCTTTTTCTGCTGCCTTCAATCTTTCTCAGAAACTTGCTTTCTCATGATGTGCCCAAAGGAGGACAGCATCAGTTTCATCATTTTTGTCTCGTTTATTTCAGAATTATTTATAAGGGTGTCACTGGAACCATGGACACTTCTCTCAACCTTTCTCCATCTTATAATCTTTGTCATTGCCAACCAGTTCTACATCATAGTGATGCTAAAACTCAAGTGCAAACAGAAAGAGAAATAGCTCACAGTATGTTCTTTCCTTCTTTCACATTTTTTGGTCTCTGACATCTCCACGTTTTAGGTTGGGTTGAGGTCAATGTATCCTTTATACCTGGGGTCTTGCTGAGTACTGCTGGCAAAACCTCCTGTGACTCCACTGTGGGCTCCTAAGCTTCAGACACCAAATCACTCAAGAACCAAAATCACTCAGAACCAAATCACTCAAGCATTGCTGCCTTAGGGAAGGTTCGATTCAGATATGGAAGGCTTCCTTGTGAAAGAGAGTCTGTCAAAAAAGGGCGTAGACTGGTAGAATGTTGGCCCCACTTGCCCACTCAGCCCATTCCTCGGCTTCACTATTCTATTCTTCAGTAGAACTCTCCATTGCTACCTCATTCCATCTCACCCCCCTCTTTATCCAGTTCATTCTCTGTCTTACTCGTAGGCTTCCCCTCCCCTCTATTGTAGTGTCTGCTGGGTGGGAAACTATGCACGAGTTTCTCTGTCCTTTTCATTTTGCACCTGTCTAGTACACTTCATCACCATGGCTGCAGCCATTGACACCCTCCTGGAGAGTGGCATGGGGAGGGAAGCTGTTCATAGCCTTCCATCAACTTTTGGCTGGGACCTTGGAATAATAGAGAAGATGCCATAGTTGACCCCAGCTGTGGGCTAGTGCTCAAGTTCTTCTTCGTGGCCTCTGTGAATCACACCCTGGGTGATCCGCACCTGCGCAGAGCCTCGTCAGAAGAGCTTCGGTGGTAGCAAAAATCACATTAGAATAGACCTCTTCCCCTCCGTGTAAGTACCTTGGCGCCAAGACTCTCCCTTCAGTTTCTTTCAACCGCTGCATTGAAGAGCCTCGTACTTCTAGCTTCTGTGGGTGTAAAAGTGAAAGAGAGTTTTTACTCCTGATTCTCCAATTATTTCTTCTGTTTATACAATAATATCCAGTATACGAACTGTTCCCTTTTTTCTTTCCTGTGCCTCGGTCTTCAGCCGTCACACACCTCGCTTTTATTTTTTTACTAATCAAATTTTTATTTCTCTTAACAATTGTTCGTGGCACCTTTGGGCCCATTTAAGCACTGCATTGTTTGTGATAACAAATTCCCTCTGTCTGACAGCCACACAAGTGCCTTTTTTGTCTGGGGAAGGCCCATCAAACCTCTTTGTGCCCTCATTGTAAAAATTTCAAGTGAGGAGTACTTAGTTCTCGTCTCTCCATATTTAAGCTCCATCTCTCGGAGCAATCTCTGCAGCCTGTGAAACTCATGGCTCACCCCCCATGCATGACTTCTTCGCAAGGTAGACCCATGGAGAAAGCGATTGCAGAATCCTCTAAGCAACACCATTCGGCCACACCATCCCACTCGGATGCCACTTCATCAAAACCTTCAAAGGAACACAAACCAAAACACTCAACTTTGAAAACTTCAACATTGAAGTCCTCCAAAAAATGGAAACTGCCCTCCAATTCCTCTTTGTTTCTGGACCCTCTTCCACCCAAGAGATCTAAACAAACTAAAACAAAGCTTCCATGACAATTCCACAACAGCGTCCTGAATCTTGTGATCTGATTTCGGTCGGTTATCCTTCTGACAATAAAGGGATCCCGTCTCACCAACCAGCTTTTCAGTCACCGGAATGGGATGAGCGAATAGAACACATTTCTTCCTGGCCTCCTATTCAACAATGTGTCTCTCCCAGCAACCCATCCATGGTCGCATCACCGGAGAGAGTGGAATTGGAGCCTTATCCAGATACTGTGCCCTATTCTGTACCATCGGGCATGCCACCATGGCCACTGGCATGCTATCATGGGCATCAAACCTATGAGGCAATTCTGCCAGTGCGTGCAAGTCACAGCCATGCTTAGCACCCTCATCGGGTAGCCATTTGCCCCAGTCAGTGCTCCATCGACCAATCTGTCAAACCTGTTCAACTGGCCATTTTGTCCGGTCCTATGGCGAGATTACATCACCATCTTGACAACCCTCAGTGTCTAAGTGTATGTCCCATCCAGGTCCAAATATTCATCAGACAGCTATCTACCAGCCACCTCAAAAGCTTAAGGCAGTCGAGAAACATGCCTCCAGTCGTGATGCATTTGCAGCTCCTGTTAGCCAATACTTTCCAGCTCCTCAGAACTATGGAGACCGTTCCTCCATATCAGCCTCCCTGGCCTTGATTTATTTTTTATTTTATTTTATTTATTTATTTATTTATTGCATTTATACCCCGCCTT